GCGACGCATCGCGACGCATCGCGACGCATCGCGACGCATCGCGACGCGTTGCGCGTCCGATGTCGGACTCGGTTGGAGATGCCTTCGAAGTCTGAAGAAGTCTCGTTGGAGACCCTCTACACCTATGACCTCTCTACATATACTGTAGATTATATGCACATATAGTTGGAGTGACACCTCCACGCTGACAAAAAGAACCTGTGGGGTCCTACGTGCAGAGCCTTCAAGTTCGACTAGCGACTAGGGCTGTACGGAGGACTGTTGGAGGGCATGCATCAGACTCTCTCGATGGGTTCTTGTAAATTGTGATCATCCAAGGAACAAATTGTGGCGAATACCAGTGCCAGCCGTGTGAAAAGGGTCGTGTGACTGATATGGGTTACTTGCAGAACAGGTGGAATGCCCCGCAACAATTTGTCGTGGATGCTTGCAAAATGGCCCATATATTTACAGTGTCCAACGTTTGCATGATGGTTTCATGGATGCAGAGAAAAGACCCAGACATTGTGCGCATGTTTGACCTCTGCGACTTCTTGAGCTCATTTTCAGTTGACTGATGTTAATGGGAATTTAGTTGCGGGGTAGAGCTACCACACTGGATGCAAGAACCATTTAAGTCGCGGGCTTGATCCGCCAGGTCCTGCCACTGTGGTGGATGATGACCCTATCTTCCGCAGCATTTTGGGAGTGCCTGGCATGGCAGGTACCTCAAAAAGCTTCATGTGTGGCAAAGGATCTTTTCATATTGTAAAGGAAAGCCAAGGCGAAAGGGAGGCAGAGAGAGCGAGAGAGAGAGGAGAGCGAGCGTACGAGCTAGCTGTGAATGTTGCTAAGCAGAAGTGTGGATTTTCACAACCAGCAACAGCATGTTTTTATTATCAATATTATTGTTATTACTGTATTTTCAATTTTAAGAAAGGGCCTTCCAGACCAGCTGTGTCTCAACTCCTCGGACTCAGAAAGAGGACACAGAGCAAGAGGTTAAGGAAGTCAAACTCAAGAGGCCAAGCAAGTTCGCCTGGTGGAACAAAGGGACGCTACTGGGAGCAAAGGGCATCGCTACTAGGAGCAAGGATGCTACTAGTAGGTCTTTGAAGCTAATGGTAACAAAAAAGCTACATTGGTTCATCAGCTTCACCACGCTCCCAAGGTAGTGGTCCGGCCTCGGCAACCATTGGAGTCAGGCGGGGAACTTATGTAGTTTATATGAGTTATATATGGTTCAGCTGTTGCCTCATTGTGCGACATTTTTATGTCGTCTTATAGGACAGGTCTCAGGTTTCCGGATGGATTCAATAGTTGGTTTCCAATGTTTATATATATATATATATGTGGTTTTAGTGTCAGGCATACAGAGATCATGTTTAGTGTGAATGCGGTGTTCACTGTATATATATATAAGTTTTGCTTTGCTATCAGTACAGTACAAGATGCTGACAATTTCCAGTTCTACATTGAACTGTACCGATAACCTTTCGATCCCTGATGGGACTTTGCTTACCAAAGATTTGTTAAGCAAAGCTTGAGGTTTCCGTTTGCCTGTGCGATTCGGGTGATAAGGATATCACCTTTTTCTTCCTGCTCATGCCTTGCTCACTTTTTGTGCGCACAACCCAGGAGCAAGCTACGAGCTTGTCTTTGGACCAGGTGCTGTTCAGGACTTGTTGCTGGGCATAGGTAACAGACTACCAAAAAATTAGCCTTCTCATTGCCATTGCTGAGTTTCAAGTGGATCGTTGCCCTTTAGCTAGGAGCCTGTACTGTACCAGGCAATGTAAATACGGTCACTGGTAATTTTTGTAGATCCACTGCTGATACCAATGCAGCGCCTTCCTTGGTCATTTTTGCAAACCACTGTGGTTACCAACACAATGCCTGTATTGCTAGAACCATTTGGGGAAGGTCTCAGTGATGAAAGACATGTTGGGCTACCGTCTATGGAATGGAGGCCAATCTTCGTAATTTGGGAAGGGACCCGGAAGTTGACGCAAAATTTGTCCTCTAGTCTTGACTCGCAAATGCCTGAGCACCTCTTTTGGAAAACGGGGCAGAAAACGGGTCACAGACTTGTCTGGCCCCAGGATGCGATGGGTAATATGGCTCACAGCTCAAAGGAGTTTCAGGCGTGACAAGCCAGTCCTGCTTTCCACCAAACTTTGGCAGATTAGAGACAGACGCAGCATTTACAAAATCAGAATGTTTGTGTGAAGCTCACGCTTTTGCACAATGCCACAAGAGTCCTCAGAGTCCACTTTATTCGGAAACTAAAAGCGTCCTTGCTGCTAGTAGCGATGCCCTTTGTTACTAGTAGCTTCTTTGTTACTAGTAGTAATGCCAGGAGCCCCTAGCAGCGTCCTTGCGCCCAGTAGCGATGCCCTTTGCTCCTAGTAGCTTCTTGTTACTAGTAACTAGTAGTAATCCCAGGAGCTACGAATAGCATCCTTGCTA